TGAATTCGGGTAGACCCATGGAACCTGATGCGAGGATGAGTGGATCATATGATTGTCCTTATGGTCGGTTTGTTACTTATCGGAGAATGGGATGGGGTCCGCAGTGGTGATAGAGGGGTGTGAAGGTATGGTGTGAGTTAGGAGTGATTGCGGAGGATAGAGATCAGCCTGAGACCAAAAGGTAGTCTGGGGATGGAGGCGATGCTAGGTGGGAATGTATAGGGCATGCTTTTCACATGAATATTTCTAATGATCTAGAGATATAGATGAAAAACTAATAGCAGACGTTATTTTATTCATGATGTCTGTACAATGGTGCGAAGAAGATAGATTGTGTTGCTCAATACAAAAAGTTATGCCTGCAAACTGATAATTCAATCTTCCGGATTTTTGCAGATCTTTGAAGTGATTCCACAACGACCTGCCTCTTCTATAATACACAGACTAACACCCCCTTGGTCACTTCTGGCGGATATTGACTGGAAAGACGAATGGTTTCAATAAGCTCCCATGATCCTTTTCAACACTGAACCGTAGCAAGTCAACAGTAATGCGTGGTTTGATGCTCCGCTTATGATGTTCCCTAGAAAATAACTGGAGATACAATGACACGGGATGGAATAGGTACGCCTAAAAGCTATTAGAACAATACGTAGGAAGGAAAGCCAGGATAGACCTTTCAACCATTCAAGGCCATTTTTAAAGTCTGATTCACTACCTGCGGTACAGGTTCCAGCACCTTCAGAATTGAATAACCCTTTACGGAATCAAATCTTTCCAGCCCTTTGAGATCCTGAATTGGTGGGAACTTTAAGTCAACTCCCTGAAAGCTGGATTCAGTAATGTGCAAAGAAAAAGGTATGTGCAGTTTCTGAAACGAATCGATTGATTCAGGTTCGTGTAAATATATACCGTTGTGTCCTTCTCTTTTGTGGTCGTATGGAAATCGGGGTAGGCTCTCAGGGAGACAGAGAATGGTTGGTATATCGCGGCCATATCCTGATGTGTATGGCGGAGTGAAGCGTTTGCGACAGACGAGACACCAAGAGGGTGTTTGATGTTCAAGATCCATCACGAGGGGTGGTAAGTGATGATTTTGGATGATTTTGATAATGGGCTTGATAAGGAATAATACGCGATTGCTTGGTGTAAATTTCTGTTGGTATTGAAATAAGTGGTGCGCAGATGTATTTGATACCTTGATTCCAGTTATAATGCCATCTACTGAGTCTGGGTCTCAGGGATTGTAGAAGATCATAATCCAATTCAGGTTATATATTTAAGGTCATTGATGGAAACGAAACTGCGATGGTGAGAGCGATAGGAAAGAGAAACTGCGATGGTGAGAGCGATAGGAAAGAGGCATCGTGATGGAAGGGCTAGATTGTGACGAAAAGCTACATCCTCTTCGAACTCAGTTTCCTGTGGAATTAACATCTTGGGTCTTTGTTTCTACGGAATTATCAATGTGCACCATCAGACGTCCATAAACTCCAGAGGAATTGTTTAGATCGAACTTGCGAAGGAAGTGAAGAGAATTTGGCTTGGAAAATTTCGTTGCCCACTAAGTAGTGCCGTATCAACGACATGAGTTGTTCGAAGTAAGAAGAATATCGACAATTGATCAGATCTTTTTTGGAATTGCCTAAGATACTTCGCCTCGCCCTTCCATTCCACATCCGGGTGGATGAGGCACATTTTGTGTTGCGTGAATTTCGTTTCTGAAACGTAAGTAAGTCCTTTACAACATTTTCCATTCCCCCTGAATTTATAACATTGTTGATTCGAAAATCTTCTTTCAAAATTTACAGGTAGTAAATATGATACTCCTTAGAAATGTTGCCTCCTCTGTTGCTCTGGAGATTTACGCAGATGAGGAATATCAGGATTGAAGTTATTCAAAGTCATCAAGTGGCAGTAGATCTCAAACCCTCAAGAAGCTCATGCTGCCTTTCAAGCCAATTGAAATTAATTGGAAGTTTGCAACAGACTTCCCGAATCTCCGTTGATGGTGCTTCCAGAGCATACTGTGAGAATATGGAAGAAATTTACAGCATTTCTAGGTCTCCCTATCTGTTGGAAGAATCTCATTTGAGGTGACTAATTCTGTCTGGCTGGCCCCCCGAAGTACTTGAATGATTAGTGATCTAATTGAAACACCGTTCCATGCGTTCCACACTCCATTACCCAATATGTGCATGTCGTCGCTTCAATGTGCTTTTTTCATTAAGATTCGCTTGATTTACGGCAAAACTTCCCCATGCCATATTTTATGGTACTCCACTTTGGCCTTAAGAGTTGTCCAAGCTATACGGGGACGAGGGGGGTTCCGCAAGGCTTCGGCAGAAGTAAACGAAGTCTCGGCTCCCTCAAGCTACCCCTGCTTTAACCTGGGGATTGAAATGCCGTTGTAAGACACCACGGTTGGAAATTAAGAGAATTGGAAGTGAACGCTTGCTGTATATCCCTTGTATCATATAAGTTAGGAAAAGATAACGAAATCGAGATTGAGTCTAGTTTTTGGAGTTTGCGGACATTATGGTCTTCAACAAATGCGGAGAAACTTAGAACGCAAGATCGGTAAACTCCGTTTGACGCATAATTTTCATAATTTATGATGACACAGATATGCACCGACAGACTAGCTTTCCATGCACGGACTCAAAGCCCAGTAGATCATTGGTCTACCCCATCTTATCCTGTCCTAGTCAGGGGCTTCGTCCAATGTTGGTTTCAACCTTCTTTGAAGTCTCCTTCACCTCACATACAACGAGAAATGTATGGTTGTTCAGGGGATCAAAGTTGATTTTAAGGTTAAGTGCTTCGGTAAAACAAGGATGTTTAACCTACCGAGTGACATTCCGCTCACGCAACCTCATCTTAATTAGAGCTAATACTGATTGCAGTCGATGTCAATTGACCTTCTGTATAGAGTTTCGAAGTAACATTTAGAGGGAGCCGTTCGTAATATTTGTGGAATGTCGGTCTCGTCATGATTTATCAGCGATGGTGATTTTTTAGAAATCATTGCTTTGTGACCGAAATGGCGGGTAAGATTCGGCATGCACAGCAGAAATGGCGAGATTATTGCAGTGGTAACGATCAGCCTCGTTGACAGATCTATCCATGTTTTCTTTTGTGGGAGACATATATAACAGTTTCTCATCTTCTACGATGTATATTCATTCCAGACCAGACCACGAGTTTTGGAGTCGTTTTCTAGTCAAATCGTTCCTGTTTCAACTCGATCCAAAATGCATTTCTCAACTGCTGGAGCACTTGCCTTGAGCAGCATCTTAGGCACTTCATTTGCTCGGGTGAACAATGTTCCAATTGATAATTCGACCATCGACGAGCTTTACGCTGAAGCCCTCAAAGAAGATGGAAATTTGGTCGTAGCTTCAGGTGGTGATGGTAAGTAACTTTCTTCAATGACTAGCTTTGATCTCATCGCTTTTCTGTAGAAACAAATATGTATTGACAGACTTCTAGCTGGAGTTCAAGGTCAAAGCATGAAAACAGCTTGGGCTGCACGATTCCCAAAAATTGCTCTCGATCTGACCGTCGACCTCTCCAAATACCATGACAGTCGAATTGATCGAGCGTACTGGGCTAACAATGAAACCGTTGATATTGCCGTTCTTCAAACCCTCAACGATTTCCAACGATGGAAGGAAGAGGGACGTTTGTTGTTTTACAAGCCTCCAACATTTACTGATCTCTACTCGGGAGAGACGGATCTCGATGGTGCCTTTGTGCCTGTTAACATTGGTTAGTGTTTCCTACTCGGTGAACTATGCTCGAATATATGGTATTAATGTCTTCCTCTAGGCAGCTTCGGAAGTTTCTCCTGGGACAGTACTTATGTCTCAGAATCCGAGGCTCCAACCAGTTATGCTGACCTTCTAGACCCCAAATGGAAGGGCAAGATTGTAGCCACATACCCTAACGACGACGATGCAATCGGCTATCTTTTCTCCATCATCATTGAAAAGTACGGGTTTGAATGGCTCGATGCTCTTGCAGCACAAGATGTTCAATGGGTCCGCGGGACCGCCACTCCCGGGTTCGTCATGAGGGACAACCACAACAATGCCACCAAATCCGCATCTGGTTCTTCCCCTAAAGGAAGAGTTCTCTCATTTACCACTTATCCACCCTCAAATGAAACATACTTTCAAATGGCGCAACCAGCAGCCCCAGAACAGCACATGGCATGGGCGCAAACAGCTGCAGCTTTTGCTTCTACCAAGAGACCTGCTACTGCTAAACTTTTCTTGGCTTGGGTTACCAGTGATGAATGGCAGAAGGCTTCAACTTCTGGATCACCTAGAAAGAGCTTGGATATTGGAGGCACGGTTTATACGAGTAATACAACACAAACTAGTCAATTTAGACAGTTTATGCAGGATCGTAGAAGAGTTGAGTGGTGGAAGTTGCAGTATGAGACCACGTTGGGAACGGCTCAGGGGGTTAGTCCTTTGGCATTGTACCCATAGAGCCAGAGATGAGTTGGACTAGAAGCTATAGGAGAATTAGCGGAAGTAAGAACGAAGAGGTGTGGATTGTCGGGATTATTTGTAGGCTGTGTGCACCATATATTTTTCAAAATGTATATATTATTCTACTGGTGTAAAAGTGGTTATGGGTTGTTATTGAGCTATCGCAAAAGTGCCTGCCATGAGTTTACTTGAAAGCCTGCTTCTACTAGACTAGACTCTTATAACAGCTTTACTGGCATTAATCGCGACGATATGACTTAAAGTGATTATGCCAGTAAGTTTTGTATCTCGACTGTCCCTGGAGAAAAATGCCAGACAAATACTCACTTAGCTAAGTCTGATATTTAAATCAAATGAAGGACTTTGGAACTTTTCACTATAGATACAGAGTGACTTATCTATCCATGCGCCTGGAACAAGATTCATTAAAGGCGGATCTTCGATGAGCGACCAAAAGTCTCCAGCAGATTGATCCGTTGGCCTTGAGAACCAAAAATTTCAATCCTCAACACGAGAGCCGTATTTAAATCCGACTGAACTTGACAATCCTACCTCATAAGTGATTACTGACTTCTCAGAGCCCCCAAAATTCCAGGCATCGACTCGATTTATGTGACTCTCAAAAATCAATGACCTAAAATTGCTTCGCTTTTGCACCTTGAAAATAGGTTCTTCTTTGTTTCCATATTGTTCCAGATCAATACCAGAGGACCGCAAGATCTTAATCCAGTCAAATATCTGCCGTCCTTTGTTGTTTATTCCCAGATCGAGCACGGAGTTACTCAAAATTCTCTGTAGAAGTGTAAGTCCACGATGGCCAGTCTCATGGAGATGAACATGTGCTGCTATCAAATCCCGCAGAAGTTCTTCCCATGGTTGATTTCCAGGAGATGAGTAATTAGTACCCCTGGAGAATGGTTATTTTATCTTATAATTCCAAAAGCTAGTAACTTCCACACATAAAATCTGGAAAAACGCTTTCAGTGCTTCTTCATTATTGCGCAGTCTGACGTAAACCGAGAGTTTTGACCCGCCAAGCAATGATCCGATGAACCGCTGAGGAACGTAATTCCTGCTGCGTTTAAACATTCTTGCTGCAATGCTGCATTTTTCCGCGAACATGGACTCGTTCAGAAACGTGTTGCGTTGTGTGTAACTAAATATATCCTAAGGCATATCTGTTTTCTCGAGAAAGCGACTTTTGTTAAGAAATTCCTCTTCCGTCCCTCCTTCAACGAGGATGTGAAGTGTTTTCAAATGTTTCTTCCAAGCGCCGTTCCTAACGTTCGAGTATGGTGAAGAAATTAGATACTGCAAAGGGGTGGCACTAGCATTTTCCATTCAGCTATTGCGAAACATCTAGAGAAAGTGAACTTTTGAAGATTCTTACCTTGTACAATGATCTCCAGCCGAAACATCAGCACCCGCCGAAAGAAGCAACTTAAATAGATTATGATGACCGTTATATTCTGCTATCTGTAGTATACTAGAGGCTTGGAAATAATTCAAAGGCTCGGAGACGTTTTGAAGACTCACATGGAGAGGAGTTGCTCCTACCCACTCTTGCTTAACTTCGTGTCATATAAAGCGAGTACTGCAATAGAATGTATCATTCACAAAACCTATCCGCTCTCGTATCATCCTTTGCACATCGAAGAAATCACCACTAACGACACAATTAAAGAAAGCCGTATTTCAGTCCAAAATGCGGCATGCTTGGATGTCGATATTCCATCTCAGCGAGGATAAATCTTTGCTGTACAATGCCATGATCTATTTGAAATCCGAGCTGGGGGGTGGTATACAGCCTTAGATCTTTGAAAGGCACCTTTGTGGTTTTTCTTCATCACTTTTTGACTTCCGATTGACCCAAAAATGAATGTGATCCATCTTGACGAATTATATCGACTCATGGTTGGAATCGGTTCGTGTTTATGAAAGCTATGATCCACTGGGAGTTTTGTTTCAGCCTCCACGGTGATACTAGTGGTTTGTGGTAGGACCGCGCTATCCACAGATACTTGTGTACTGCATGTAGATTGCAAAAATTCTAAGTTTAAGATATAATTCTGTCAGTGTCGTAAGAAATGATCGAGTGACGCTTGTACATTTGAGGTGAGAGTTGAGGATTGCTGTTGTAGAACTGTACTGCAACATGTCAGCATTAAATTGATGATCCTTGTAGAAACTCACTTCATCTGCCAGGAAATGGCTATATGCATAGATCTCGTAGCACTCTTCATTCTTCTTTTCAATCTTTTTAGTTGCTCCGTCTTCAAGAGAATGTTTGCAGATCCCAATGTACGTTTCCATTTTCGGTTGGAGTTGATATTCTTGGTCAAGGCGTCAACAGGCCCGTCTAATTGCAAAGGAGCATCTTGTAATAGCCTTATACTCTGCTGAAACAATCCACCTGTAGATTGACATGAAGCTGTGAGCTGCGCTTGCTTCTCCAAGATAATGCGAAGGATGGCATGGTGACTTTCAATGTTGCGCACAAGAAAAGCGATATCGTCGGGTGGGTCCTGGATCTGGTCCCAATAGCTGTTAAGTTTGATGATGCTAGACGCAAGATTTCTAGCCAACTGCGCGATGCTGATCCCGCTGGCAATAGTTCCCAGAACCTCAGCCATCGTCAATGATTGTACTAAAATGTATGTTCGATTTGAACGAGGAAGTCTGAAGAGCTAAAAGACTGGTTCTGAAAGAGAAGTCAACAGAAATGATTTACAGTCGCCCTGGTTTTCAGACTGCAACTCGAGGCTCGATAGTCATACAGATACAGATGCAGTCAAAGGCTTGACGTCGCACCAAACTCTCCTTCGCCACCACTATGCACAAAATGGCACTAATCAAACGTTCGAAGTATGTCTGCTCGGAGATCTGCATTTTGATCAGGCAGTGCTGTGAGCCGTGAAACGGCCATATTAAGCATTACCAATCGTCGTTTCAAAGAAAAAATTCGCATTAATTGACAGTAGCGGAATATGTAGGCAGATTTCTCATTTGATCAAACAATTGTGGCAGAGTGAGAGTTTGCGCCCTCAATAGCAATTTTCAGCAATTTTCAATCCAATTGCCATGGCATGGACTGTGCCGCGATCTCAAATTGTTTGCACTCAAACGAGGGGCATAATGTCCAGCAAGGCTTTTACGAAGCCGTACATTATGGGAAAGCCCAGAACTTGCTTTCTGAAACCGTAAAGACGAAAACTCAAAGAAAATTATGGCAAGATTGTGCGCCTCAGATAAATCACGATTCCTCGTTGAGGTGGTAATTTGTTACGGGGACGAGAAGGGACCGCGAAAAACATTGGAGGATAATGCTTCCCAAGCACGGGCCACCATTTTATGGACTTTCAGATTACCCCGTACTGGTCTACGAATCGGCACATTGGAATGTAGCAAGTTTTCTGTGTTGTACTAATCATAAGAACCTTTCATTATTGTTTGAAATATCTTGCTTATCAAAACTGAAACTGTTCAATCACATCCTCCCTCCCTAAGAAGCCACATCTCTCCACTAACCTCTCCCCCACTATTCCGCTGTTTCCTCCATCACTTCCAAGCTTGCTCATTCCCCCATTTCCACCTCCAATGACAAAGATCTCCCCCTCTCCTCCCCTAGCTGGCCACGCGGATGTCCACCCCGCCATCGATCCATTAATCTTCGACGGGTCCCCATATTTTCCAAGCGAAATCCACGACAACGGTAAACTCTTCGCTAACGCATAATCACTTTCCGTAGGCTCAAACACATAACCCGGAAGGTCGAGATCCGTGACATTGAAGAGGTCAATATTGTTGAAAAGATACGCAAGCTCACTAGTGTGGATAACCCCAAACCCAGCATCACCCGTAGCATCGAGATAGGAGGTTAGGATTGTTTGATTTCCAACGTACAAGTATGATGGTGGGTTTTTAGTGTTGTATTTTTTGGCCATAGCTTGGCTAAAAAGGACAGTGGGGCAGGCGAGCAAAATATCGCGAAAGATCTGGGCGCAGCGATAGTACTCGGCACTCAAGTTTGCGCTGAGATCGGCTTGGAATTCGGATACAGGATATAGATCTAAAAGCTCGTCAAATGTGGTGGTATTGACGTCTCTGTACAAATTTGATAGAAAATTCCTTGTGTCATTCGCGGTATCGATGGTGGTTGATGTGAAGAGTGTGGCGTCGTCTTCCATCCATCCACCAGCAATAGGTAATTTGGCAAATTTCCCCTGTGCGAGGAGTCTTGATGCTTTTTGTGGAAGGAAGTCTTGGTCGACAACCGGGAGATAGATATCTCCATCATTGCTGGCAGAGCTATCGGCTTCTTGGTCAACTGTGAGCTTCAGGAGAGTCTCCATGGAGAGTGACCGCAAGCAGGCAATTGTGGCCATGGATTGAGAATCAGTAGTGTTGCATCCGGCCAAAACAGCAACTGCCGCGGTGGAATTAAAACCGATGTCTGATGTCATAGTTGGCTCGAGTGCAGTACTTTCCATTACAGCTGCATGAAAGGGTACAGGCTTTAAACCTCCGTATGCGAGAATTTGCAGACCCACGCTCAAACCTCCTGAGGATTGTCCGTAGATTGTCACTCGGTCTTTATCTCCTCCGAACATTTCAATGTTTTGTTGGATCCATTCAAGAGCTAATCTTTGATCACGAAGACCTGCATTAAGACACTTATTTGGTCTCAGAGCTTCAGAAGCTGGAAACCCGAAAATGTTGAGACGGTAGTTCATTCCAACATAGATTACAGGCTCACCGCTTGCAACTGATGCATGGATAAGCCCATCAGGTGCAGTGGTCCTTTCATTGACGGTTCCGGTAAACAATCCACCTGATCTGGTTAGTAGGTTCGAACAATGGAGTTTGATATGCTTACCTCCATAAATGTAAGCCATCACTGGCAACTTTGAGCCAGCCTTGGCCCAAGACGGTCTGGCAATATTCAGATTCAAACAATCTTCCGAAATATTTGTGACATTTGTTTGGAACAAGAAACCCGATCCTGAAGGTTGAGGGCAATCAAAACCCTGGACCGTAGCATTGTAATGGTAGCCGTGGGGAGGGACAAAGGCTCGAGGGGGTGCGAATCTGTTTTCACCACTTGTATCCAAACCGTATCGGATACCCCGGAAAGTTTCCACCCCTTTGCTAGAGGTAATTCCTGTGTACGAGATATTCGTCCTGTGGTCCAGAATATATGGTTTAGCGTTGACATGATCAGTCAGTAAAGACGAGATCAACAAACATGTCGTCGACCGCAAAGACGAAATCAGCATCCTGGGTTTGAAGTTAATTGAGGTAAGAATTGAGACGAATAACCAGGAAAATATTCGAGGTTTTCACGCCCTTTTGTATATAAGCTGCATATCAGTTTATTCATGTAAATCTTCCAATCCCACTTTGATAAATGAGTGAGATTTGTTCTCGTAAATGAGGTCCACGAATAGCGTCCATTTTGAGTTGGCACGTGTGGAGCTACCAGCCCCAACTCAAATTTTGGGAGATTTATCTCAACCTTTTTTTCTCTGATACACTGAGGATTTAACTTTGCACGTCAGCGAACTTCGAAAGCTATTATTAGCATGAGTAAAAAGGTGTGGTTTTGCTAAGGGGTTTCTCTAAACTTCCATACTTCATCACACTCTGAGAATTGCCCATCAAGACTGCATCATAACCGAATTTCACATCGTCAATTCTCTCCACGCTAAACCCCTCCAACTATACCCACTAGCGGTCCGTTCAGGGGAATTGATTTATCACTTCTGGTACGGTCACAATCTTTCAAAATTCGGATTTCTCATAACCCCTGGCTGGAAATTGATTGATGCAGATAAGATCGCAAGCAATATGCTTGCGATCTTATCCGATTGAATCTCACCGCTATCACCATCCACTACTTGTCCCAAAAGGGAGTGATTTTTAGTTTGGGCTACTTCTTCTTAAGTCTCGACCTATTGATTCTAGAAGGGAGAGGCTCATACAGTAATAACTCAACGACTTCATATTAAATTGGCCCCCTCGAAAGAAAAATGATGTCCTGTATATCCTATTCCCGAATGGGAGAATCGACAAAGCGGAATGGAAACAGATCAGTTTCAATTCAATGTAACAATCATACACTCAAAAATCAGACCTGGTGAGGAAAGTGGGATAGGAAGTTGTTGATTTGATATGGTACATGGCCATCTGGTCGAAGACACAGAGATTCCCAAGAATTGACTTCTGTACAATTTGGAGGGGCTCTCGCTGGGGTATCTATGCGTTTTGATTGAAAACCGGTTAGACGGAAAGTGTCAATGCCCCCACTTTCTGGCACATTCCCTCTCTCTTCTCCGAACTTGATCCTGAGATATCGCGAACATATTATACTAAGTCGGCGGAAGAGCTTAGAAAAATCCACCTCTATAAACTGAGAGGAACACAGTAGACATTATGGCGAAAACGACTGACTGGGATCATTCTTCCCCGGCGAGTGCATAGCAAGATTCGGCAAGAAGTGTTCGGCATTTGTTCTAGCATATCTTGGCTGGCACGGGCCTTTCTGAAGCCGGCTTGGATGGACGTTAGTGTTGTACGCTGAATATTGCTGAACACAAAGTTGTAGGTAGGCTACTAGGTCTCATTCATAACTTTTGATTGAAGCAACATTTCATGGCCATGATTGTATGAATGTATAAATCGCGATTCGTCCCGCGACGTTCGACGCTAGTCATCCGTGAAGGAGTTCAATTAATAAAGGCTTTCGACAGCTGCGGTACAGCCACCAGGTTTGGAACTTTTCAGGTGTTTGCAATCTGGTCTTAAAGACATAAACTTAATATTAGGGCACACAAATATCAATGGTAAATCAATCTGACTTAATAGTATTCCCGCATAGAAAATGACCAGATTTTAACCATCTGAATTTCTCCAGCGGACCGGCGGAGATTTTGAAGGCTGATATGTTCAAATGATGTTGTAAATATCTTGCGTTGCTTAGACATCAAGCCATGTAGACAAGGTGCACCAGAGCTTCTTGGCGGGGTCCCGGCCGCCGCTCGCCGCGATCGTCATAAAGCTTGATGCTCATTGACCAATTGACAATATATTTTTTCTGGATTTATCAGCCATGTAAGACTTGTAGGTGATTTGGATGGAATGAAACAGGATATTTTGATGATTTTTGCATTGATGCCGTGGATGAGAATGGATCTGTCTATTTCTAATCATGATTTCGTCAAAATAATTGGTCTGACCATTGAGCTTGATGAAGTATAAATATCTCGAGAAAGGTCGTTCGTCTTGAGATAAGTACAGACAAGCTCTGGGTTCTAAGCTCATTTGAAACCTCGATCTCATGTATCATTTCCAATCTCTTTCCTCGCACTTCCTCAAGTCGTCATCATGGCCAAAACTGTCGTCGTTTTAGGAGCAACTGGCATCCAGGTATCCTATCTTTCACCTTCATACGAGTAGCTCATACTTACATTTATTGTAGGGCGGTTCTGTCGCTGCCAAGTTTCTCTCACTAGGGTGGAAAGTCCGAGGAATCACTTGAAATAACTCATCGCCATCAGCCCAAGCTCTCTCAAATCAAGGTATCGAGGTTGTCAGTGCCGAGCAAGATAATCCAGCCTCACTTATCCCAGCCTTCTCTGGCGCAGAAGCAATCTTCGCTGTCACAAACTTCTGGGAACCGTTCTACAAAGAGTATGAAGAGCTTTCTAAGTAGGGAGAAGATTAGTTTACTGAATATGGGTATCTATACGACGAATGTGAAAGAGTATGCGGACTCTTTCGGACTCCAGAAAAAGGTATGACGTCATGTTTCCTAGCTGAGAAATCGTGGAGCTAATACAACTACGAAGGATGATGGTTCAGGTGAATACATATACCACAATGCCAGTCCAAATTCAGCGGAGAATTTATTTGTTGTACCAACTGATGCAGGTGCTTTCGTGGAATTGTTGGTTCGAAGTCCTCCAAAGCAAAACTTATTGGGAGTCAGCGAAGCAGCAAACCTCGTTACCTTTCTGAGATCTGGGGACAGGTAACCTGCGAACAATTCACTGTCGAAGCCCACGATAGAGCTCGTCCAGGAGGACTTGGAAGAGAAGCAGCAGAGTCCATGGCTCGTAGTGTGAAATTTGGATGGGGAGACCTTGTCTTGCGTAAAGATGTAAGTTCTCTCCCATGCGAGATGAGAGAAATGTTTGAACTGACGTGTTCAGCTTGATTCCAATGTCAAACTCACCAGCATAAAAGAGCACATCGAAAGCGAAGACTGGAGTGTATATAAATAAATTTATCTAAAGGAACATGAAGTATTCTTCAAAGCTGAAAATCACTGGATTGATCTATCTGGAATTATAGAGATACCGTCTCAAGATAACTTCTTGTGTGATTACCTGAACCATAGATAGACAATGGCAGAGATATTATTAGGCACTCCAATAACCCATGACTGAAGACGTTGGTATGACAATATGAGGTTCGGATTTCATCACCTCAGTCAGGTGAACTTTATGTGGTCGAAACCTACAAAAGCAGCGATAGGTTACAACACCATGGATTTGATGTTACATTGCATATGAAGGTAGCAAGGATTTACCGGTATTCGATGAAAACATAACTCCGCCTGCAATCCCAACATCCCAAAAATCCAATCGAGTCAAGGTTATCGCTATGAATAGCCAGTCAGAAGAGAGCGTTTGACCCAAAAGATTGTTGCAGGGTGCTTTGGCAGTAGACAGCTTATGGAAATTTTGTTCCATCGGGTATCCCTTCATTCTCATCTTTGCTTGTATATTGATATCAATAAAAGTATAACACCGGTAATTCAGAAGGTTACTAGTTAAACACCCGGGTAACGGCGAGAACAACACTGTATTTTGAAGTGATTAGAAAATTATAATGACAAAACGTCAAAATGAAGAATTCAAAGCAAGCAATTCGACCACAGCACGAGTGAGATCTGAATTAGTAAATTCACCGTTTAATTTCAATCAAAATATCATTGGGAAAAGATGCATTGCGTTGCAGAAAAAGCAAATATCAAGGAAAACAGATTAAAATGATAAATGGCAGATCGAGTTGGTCCGTAATGGAAGCCGCACGATTGGATTTCGAGAGGAGTCTTTGAGGCTGTTGAGTGAGAGAGGGGGCCCAAGAAAGGTGTACGATCAGTACGCACATTTCGTGTTGCTAGAAAGCAAAAGAAGAAGAGGAGCAAACTTGGCAAGTAGGAGATATTGCGGAGAGCTGGATAGGTGGATTTGAGATATGGATGCTGAAAGAAGTGCTCATATATAAATGATTAATATCACGATTCAATGAAGATATCTGTTTCGAACTTTTGACCAATTCTGGACATGAGACTGGACCTGGACTCGGACCTGAATGGAGAGGATGTACCAAAGATCCTACAGAGTAGATGCCATATCATGGCTTTCGCGCATATATAAGCACCCGTATTTGATACTCTTTCGCCATGTAATAAAAGTTGAAGGCTTGTGAAAGAATTTGTATGATTTTATGTTGTTCTTCCGTGGAGGTCAATCAATATCGAAATCTCCACCGAGAGACAGGATTTCCATTTCCCTTTCGACCACGCCACTTTGAAGACTTCTTCATCTCATGATTAGGAAGTACTGGCAACGATTCCTGCAGTGCGTCGAGTTGTCTTTCGAAATTGTTTCAAATGATAACGGAAGTAAAAAAATGCTGGATAAATGTGGGATGAAGGAAACAAAATTTCTATGACACATCTTCGTTTGTCACTTCCTTCCTATTTCGATATTTGATTACGTAATCACCTCGCCCACAATGATTGTCAATAAACCAAACTACTTGTCTTCGAATATGCTTTGATCTTCTTAATATCATTATTTTCTAGTCTATCTCAAAAAACTCGCACTCTGCGTCATTATCACGTTTTCGTGACTCCGTTTACATGTTCATATCACAAGATTTACGTTCTTTCATCTCGCAGACCTCGATCGTGCTTTCAGCAACATATCCGAATACAAAATCTCAACCATCTTCAGATCTACTGTGCATCGTGCATGTGTTCTAACAGTCGGAAGATTGAAGCCAATCATATCGAGCGCTATTGCTATCTTTAAGAAACATCATCTCATCTAGCACAATGCTCGAGATGAAAATCTTCACTCTCTCTACTTCATCGTTCCCAGCGAATTAAGTAATTCGCGTCGATAAGACAATAGACAGCCCCTATCTATGTGAGCCTCGACCGATGAGAGCACCCTAGCAGTGTACTATCTGTGGAAAACCCAATCGTAAACAGATTCCGGCATGAGAATGAGGAAGGTCACGACGGTGATGTCCTTGGGGAATGAGGATCCGATGCAGCCCTGCCTTTCTGATGATGGAGTTCGCGCTCAATCTGGGGTGGGATTGGATGAGATGGCGAAACCAAGACGTCACGATCTTAGATGCCGTGCAATAAAGACTATCAAGTGGTGTCCTCATACCTCGGTTCATCTTTGCAAGCAAGCATTATAATATTTATTCATTACTCAATTGAAATGCTTATCGGTATCGATATCTTTAAATTCGATATTCATACTTTCAAAGATAGTTCTTTGGTTCCAGGGGTCCTTATCGGTCCCAAACGCTGTGACCATTAGCAAGCATGCTCCCCCAGATTCCTTATCTCAACATCCCGAACTCCCTCTCATCATGGCTCGCATGTCACTGCATGGCTTGTATTGTCTTCGTCGCGTAGGACATCAATGGTACTAAGTATGCTAGAATGAAGTCGTTTATGCTGCATGGCAAGGCTCAATGATGGGATGATTTCACAGCCGTAAGTTTCGAGTTCATGGATTATGGTTTCCTTATCTCGGATTTTGAAGGGAGGAGCTCGGGACATAATTTAAAAGAATTTCATACCCCATTTTTTAGGATCCCATAGACACACTTTCGCAACAATTCTGCAACACGTTATTCAAATTTAGATTGTTAGTTACTGGAGCTCTCAACACGTTTACAAGATTTTGATAACGTCTTAAGTGGTTGCTATTCCCCATGTCTGAGGAAACAGGCAAGTATCCTGAAAAGGGGGAACGTGATGGCAGCAACACCTCATCTGTATCACAATCTGAACAGATTGCAAAAGCGGCCGAAATGTTGGGTGTGGAGAAAGGTGAAACAATATCGGCCGATGACGAGTTATTGGCATCCCTGGGATATCGAGCAGAACTAAAACGCGAATTCTCATACACCACTGTCTTCGGGCAAAGTTTTGGTTCTATGGGGATTGCTCCAGCAATTGCCGAGAGTATGGTTTTCAGTTTAGGCAGTGCTGGGAGTGTGGGCATGGTATGGACGTATCTGGTTGGATGTCTGTTGCTCATTCCAGTAGCATTGAGCCTGGGGAATTAGGAAGCAGCATGCCTACTTCTGGAGGATTGTATTATGCAAGTTGTCAATACCCGAAAACAATTGATTGACTCATGAGTGCTAACAATTGACAGTGGGTTGCACGTCTCACACCACCACGGCAGAGGGCTTTCATGTGCTGGCTTGCGTACGTTCCTTCATCTGTGGTCATGTCTACACCAAGCTCTAACTATGTCGTTTTAGCGGTTATATGAACGTCTTAGGGTATATCTCGATATACGCATCGACAATCTATGCAGCAACCCTTATTCTTGGCGCGATCTGTAGTATCAATACAGATTCTGCGTTTGTTGCTACAAAATATCAGAACTACGGCATGTTCGCAGCAACCACCTTCTTGACCTTCGCAATGACATGCGTGCCGTCACAAGTCCTCTCTCGTCTTAATATGTTTTACATATTCCTGCAATTTGCGATGCTTTTTGCTTTGATTGTTGCTCTCGCCGCTGGAACACCCTCGGAACTCAAAAACTCCGCGAGTTTTGTCTTCGCAGATTTCCAAAACACTGGGTTCTGGACAAATAATGGTTGGGCCTTTATGCTCTCATTCCTGACACCAGTATGGGTTGTTTCCGGATTTGAAAGCGCAGCGACCATAGCAGAAGAAGCTAGCAATGCCGCCAAAGCCGTGCCCTTCGCGATGGTCTCTTCGTTGATTACGGCTGCAGTGACGGGATGGGCAGTAATTATAACAATTGCATTCTGTATGGGAACAGATGTGATTGGTATAGTGACATCACCATTAGGGCAACCTCTGGCACAGATTGCATTTAATAGCTTGGGCAAGGATGGAAGTGTCGCTTTGTTGGTTTTCCTGTGGATTTCGAGTGTAGCCAATTGTTCGATCTTGATGGTTGCGGCTTCGAGAGAAACGTTTGCTTTCGCTAGAGGTTAGTTGTGTGATTTCATTACTGGCCAAAATAAGCAAATGTAAAGTTGCAGAAGAAAGCTAACTCAATCCTATTCAGACCATGGCCTCCCATTTTCATCCTACCTTCGTGTTCTCTCATCCAACAAAACTCCTATTCGCGCCATCTCCTTCGTCGCAGTCTGCACACTCACCGAAGGCCTTCTCATGCTCGTCAATACCATCGCCATAAACAGCATCTTCAACCTTGCAATCATGGGCCTCTATTTCGCTTACTGCATGCCTCTCGTTTCCCGTCTCCTTTTTCGCAATTTCACACCCGGAGTTTGGTACATGGGCGACAAGATAAGTTATATCAGTGCAGTCTACTCTGTCGTGTGGATGACTTTTATCTTTGTATTGTTATTGTTCCCTAGTTATGAGGATCCAAATGCGGATGAAATGAATTATGCGGTTGTGGTGTTGGGATTTGTGTTCGTTTTCTGCACGGCGTATTATTGGTGTCCGAAGTATGGGGGGAAGACGTTTTTCAAGGGACCAGTTAGGACGATTGACGAGGTTTTGGAGGAGAGAGGTGATGTTAGGGAGAGAGTGGTGGATGAAATTGGAGGGCATGGGACGAAGCGTGAGGATGGAAGTAGTAGTTAGAATTGGGTTGTTTTCATGCTTCAGCGTCGGCGTAGTGATATAAAAGTTGCTTGTTTCTTGATAGAACTTTTATAGAGGAAGATTACTTTGGTGTGTCTTCTAGGTTAGTCGATACACATTGAGAATGATACTTAATCCATCATTTGATGATAACTCATACAAGGTCTTCAATGTTTTCAATCTATTATTCAGAGTTTTGAATTTCATTTTCCGTCAAATTCATGTGGTTCTCAATGATTGTAGTGAGAGATTCAGTAAGTGCTCGACAAAACCCATGGCGAGTTGCTTCAATTATGATGGTTTCATAAGATATCCTCCAAAATACGAAGGTTCATATCATCGGGAGTCTATTGTGACAATTTTCAATAGCTTCTCAAGATTCGAATTAATGCGAACATAAATTAATTAAGTTGAGTGAACTTTATGGTGATACTTGGTGAAGGCTACACATGGATTTCAATGTGTGAGGTATCAAGGTACCTTGGTGATAATTATCAATAACGTCATATTTATACTGAAAACTGTTGTTTTAAGATGGTTATAAGTTCTACGGTGCGTAAATACATGACTTCCTTGATATAAAGCATCTTCTCTACTCGAGAAAGCCTTTCAATACATGGAACATATGAACATCGACATTATGCTGCAAAAGTAGATTCTCTGGGATGAAATCCGACTCCTCATCCTCCCTCGGTCGACCATCTCGAATTATTAAACTCGCTCGCCACAGTGACTCCATCATTCGTTGCCCTAAGAATCTCGCTGGTGTGATTCCTTCTCTTTTCGTCATTCTTAATGGCGTCAATATCTTGAATACTTTCTTGAACAAATCCACCATCGTATCGTTCTCTGCCGCTATTGACCACAGAAGAATTTTCTGGTTCCTGAAACCATAAGTTCCACGATCCTCCAACTATATCATCCTCGAAACGAGCATCTCCCGTGAACCGAAAGTAATCGTTTGATCCCGTCGCTTTCTCGTTGTCGTCGTCCAGTGGGAACATGTTCAATCTTGGTACATGGCAGTCAGGGCATCGGTTTTTTTCTTTCTCGAAAGAAGACTGGAAGTATTTGGCAGCGCTTTTCGCGTAAGCTACTGGAATACCATGTTGGAAGTCACTTTCTATTCCCGTAATTGTAACCAATTCTAATTCATGGAATTGTACCATGCCGTTCCAGCATGTGGGTAAAACCCCTTCGTAAGTTGTGGCAGGCTCTCCGTCGAGCATGATCATAGGAAGATAGAGAGATTTCACCATTTTTAGAACATTCGGTGCGCGCTCTGCTAAGTCCCTCAGATCGAGAGAGATCTTTTGGTGATTGCGAGCACCTTTCTGACGGACCCAACTGTAACCTTTCCCTGGTCGTGTTGGGTAGTATACTTCCAAGGCCATGGTATCGAGATCCGAATTGAAGTATACTGGATCGCGAAATAGCGCCGGATTTTTAATTAAATCTTTATATTGAGAAAGAGTTACTTTCCGACTTTCTCGATTGACGCGTAGAGTTTTTGGCATGTTTGCTTGTACTAAATCGAGAGTGATCTTGATTCCTCTTGGGATGGAGGAACGATAGTAGCAAGATTGATTGAAAGTATGAACGTGTAGAGTGACGGTTCGTCCTTCGAAAGTTAGTTGCCATATTTTGTTGCGGAGCTCCAAGGGAAGTCGAGAGAAACATGAGAATGACAACTCTTTCGTAGGTGTAGCCACCTGTGTCATTGTTTTAGGACTCATAGGTAGCACTGTAAATTAACATTAGCTTGACACATAGAACTTTGAATAACTGAAATTGTGATAAAATCTGGTTTGGTGAATTTTGAAGAATACAGAACTAGCATTTCCTAGCTCTTATCATTGACCTGGTAGAAAAAATTTCATTCCGCCTCTATATTGCGCGCATCGATCATTCTTTCGCTATTTTACTGATTCTTTAACTTCTGCAGCAATTCATGGAGTTTAGGATAGTAACTGAACGTCCAATAAGAGTTTGAAGATCATACTTACGAGAATGCTTTATGGTGCAGAAAAAGAACCCTATCATCGATCCTAACATCAAAAAGAGAATTTTTAGAGAACAACTTCGTTTCTGGGGGCTATATGCGCCGTAAATACCAGAGTATTGGACCATATTGAATGAAAGATTTGGTGGCTGGCTGTTGGTCTCAGCTGGAGAAATGAGTATGCAGTTTGGTGTGCTGTTGAGTCGAGGTTGGAAACTATGATGTAGACGAGTCGATATCTGCTGAATGTAGCGGGAATATCAATGGATAAACAGGCGGATAGAGCATATATAGACTGCCAAGAATCCCAAAATGTAGATAAAACAATGCGGTATTCATGATTCGGCGATTTTTGTGACCGTAAAACTTTTGAAGGCAATGTATGTATAACGTATCTGATTCGTAAGAAGATAAGTATTTTTGGATGGTACGCGAGAGTATTTTGAAGAAGATTTCGAACAAGAAGAAGCCTCGGGAGGAAACATATATGACTAGTCCATCGTAGTGAATGAATATTTCTACTATTCCTAAAGTATCTGGTGCCATCGACTTTGTAGCATATATCAAACCATGAGAACCGCGCGATTTGACGCGAGTGTGTGGCTAAACAGTAGAGTAGCAGTACTGCAGTTATGAAGGCAGAAGTCAAGACTGAAACGTGAAAACGATTACTCTGAGTTACATGTGACGATTCGCATAAATTATCCTCTAAATAAGTTTTGTAGATCTTCCATGGCGGCGTTGTTGATAAAACATTGGTAAATTGTGGTGATCTGTTTGCGTGATCCGCTAATTATCATCTTCGAAATTCTCCATTGATTTGATGGCCTTCCAGACGGGTTTTCTCACAGTCCAACTACCATCTTTCGAAATGTTGTTGAAGACCATTATCTCATTGACATTAGGCGACTGGTATACGGTGATTTTTAACTCATGAAATTGGTGCGTTATTTCAAATAACGAGGGAATAGAGTCTCATAATATTTGCATCTATCGCGGAGAGCTCCTTGGCGAGATATTAGAAATCGCACCGTCATGGACATACTTAGTGAGTCTAACCCAATCTCGGCCAAAGTACGGAAGGTATAGCATAAACATTGAGCAGCCATTATACGACATTTTCTACCACGATGAAAGAGCTGGGGGAGACTAGCAGAGCATTTATCTTTGTGGAGTACGTGAATAGCGAGATTATCAAGCTTTGGATTGAAATATATTGGATCACGGAATAATCCAAGGTTCTGAATCAAGTCTGGGTAGTGCAGATGCGTTTCAAATCGGCTTTCTCTGTTGATGTTAAGAGTTAATGCCATAGTCGCGTGGACTGATGATACGGCCGTTTTATAGTCGCGCGAGCCGTCCGTCTAAGTATGTCTAGGACGAGCGCATATGGTGTCAATACGAGATTCTAAGCAACTGTGCCAAATCATTTGACGAATCTCGTATGGAAGGTTTGTAAAGCAGATGGATTCCGAATCGACTGGCTCTGCCACAAAGCGCTTGTAACTACCTACGATGTCTGTCAGAGACTATCCATGTGCGTATATCTAGCATTTTGACACACATATTTCCACCCAGTGTTATGGGAAAGAGACTGGATTAGACCGGATACTTACGTCGCTCACAAATACTGCGAGGGGAAAATTCGGCAAGAGTTTAGAGAAGACAACTCTTCTTTTTGGCCTCAAGCCACCGCGGACATGCGAATATTGCACCATATCTTCAACGCAAATAGAATTATGAGGATGATTTCGAGTCAATCCATGATAGCCACAGAAGCGTACTGAACTGATTGACTGCTTCTGAATTGTGTGCAAGTGGTTTTGGCGGAGAGGCTCTTCAAACGACAGTTTTGATATAAAAGTAGATGAATGTACAATACTCGGTCAATGAGTAGGAGAAGACATTTCAGTATTTCATGTTCGTCACGAACAGAGAAAAAGTGAAGAAGAAGCGACGAAAATCAGTTTTTATTTAGAGTCAAATGGTGTGCTTGATCAGCTGATTTTGCTCTGCGACGCTGAAGGGCTATCAGTCTACTTACCGGGCGAGGTATGACAAAGTGGCTTCAACGGTTTTTTAGTTAATCTGACTAATTTGGGAAATTTTGACAGTTCAAGAAATCTAGTCGAAGATAATTGGGTCTAGTTTCTGTCAATTACTCGAACCAACTATTAATCAGCAGCGATCGTCGACCATGCCCTGGGCTGACAAGTGTCAATTTTTCTCTCTTTCCTATTTTCTGGGTAGTGAAGGTTCAAGGTTCACTAGTTCACTAGTTCACTAATGACATCTGGTGAAGTATGCAATTATATTTCGGGTCTCTTTATAACAAGAATTGCCAGGTTTATCAGTTATTCGAGGTATGGGAAATCAGAAAGGCTCTTTCCCGAAAATATGGGCAAATTGAGAGAATCACACTTGTAGCAAATAGACTCCAGATGATAATTGAGTTCATATGACAAATAGTTGCATGTACCGCCTTGTTGCCATAACATCATATCAATATGCCTTTGAAATAATCGCCGTTTTACCTATGGACTTGTTCATGTCCAAATCTTCTTCCCTTTTTCATAACTACGCCTATTCTTACTCAGAAATCCGACTCGAACCACCTAACCCAACATGAATTGCAACAACGAAGGCCGTCATGCTTTGCATCTATATCCTCATACATTCCCTCCCCCATTATCGTAGAGAATGACTTACTAGTATAAGGCAAGTGGCCCAAACGATCTAGAATGATTCGAATTCTTGGCACAACGCAATCAGGATGCGTCCTCTTTATAGTCTCAAAGTAACTTTCAAGAAACTTCTCATGCTGTAAATGGTAGTCTTTGTTGTCGAGATACTCTAACACGACAATCTCCTTCAACCCCCTATAACCCCAACCTTCATTCCATGCCAACTGCATTCTCGTATCCCAATATCGATCGTTACTCCAGCATGCTCTCGGTATAGTGATGCATCGAACGAATTTCGGAATTTGTTTATATACCGAACCCATATGACCCAGAATGTACAGAATATCTTTGACGAAATAAGTGATTTCGGTCCATCTTTTCTTCGGGTCTGCATTACGAGCAACCTTCATTGCTCTGATTGCGAAGGAATCAAGCGTAGGATGAAAGTATATGGGCCTAACATGTTCGGGGACTAGATTTCTGTACCACAAAAGTGCTTCAGCTCGACTTTCTCGGCAAACGCTCAAAGCGAGTGGGACAGTCATGTGTGCTCCAACAATTTTCATCTTTCCAATTTCGGTGTCCATTTTAACATGAACTTCCACAATGACGATACGACTTTTAAATGTTGCTCTCCAGATCATAGATCGAATCTCCTTTGGAAGTTTCTTGAACAACTTAAATTGAGTCAGTCCATATTGTTGTTCTCGTTGTTTTTTGGTCCAAGGAAGAGGCTCTATATCATAAAGGGGATATTTTGGGTTCCCGAATCGCTGGTACAAGTCTGTGTAGAAAACATAGACGTAAACTGGTTTCACTATAAAAGTTATTGTTAGAAAATGTCTGTGAGATGGGGAGCAGAAAGATTTGACTCACAGAAGTTTTTCAATTTAATGTAAGAGATTTTTGGCAAGTTTACCACCTTCTCTTCTTTGTTGAATCTTGTTCTCTTTTCCATGCGTGCTTTTGACTTGCGATTAGGTACATTGAAGGTCCGCTTATCCTTGGTTGACTTCTTTTCATTCTTCTTCTCTCTCTTCCCCGACTTTCTCTTGTCCAACTTCTTTTTGTTAGACTTCTTCTTGTCAGCTTTCTTCTTGGATGGCTTATTTTTTGCTCGGACTTTTGTGAAAGCTGGCTTTTGCTGTTTCTTTTCTTTTGATCCGTTGGGTAGATGCGAGGTCGTTACACCTGGTTTGACTATGGAAGTAGTAACGTTAAGAATTGACTATGCTGTAGCTTCGAAAGAATGACTTACATTTCTGCTTGATGTTGGCTATAGTGAGAGAAGAAGTCCTGGAGAGGGCCATAAAAGCTTTTCCGAATCCCAAGGACTTGGAGAATCGAGATTTGATGTCGTCATTCGGCATCTTGGAGATGTGAGCGTTTATTTGCTAAATATTTTGATGCTTATCCTTTCATTAGGGGACATCTGGGGTTCAACACTTTAGAATACTCCGAGTTTCTTGATATCAAGCTTGGTCAATCTTCGAACAAAAGGTGGCCTATTTAATGAACTCGAGGAATGAGCGAGTTCAAGTATTCACTGGACATGATGGGGTCACTCATGCGAAAACGCGGATTCACTGCATCTGTTGTATCTTGATACTCCCCAAGGCTCTTATCACACAATGTTATTTTCTACATGGATTTGAATACCTATGATTCCCTGTCTGTGCATCAGTCTCATACATTCTTTGATACTAGCAGCTCACTTTACAAGTTCTCTAAATCTAAATATTGATATTCTCACGTTTGCAGCACCCCTTTCAGAAATTCACATTGTGAAAGAAACTTGTTCGAAGACCTGGATGTCTCATAACATCTCAATTTCCTGTCCTAAATCCATAGACTATATTTTTGGATGACTTCCATAAGTGGTACTAGCATGTGCCATTCACTTCCTCCTGTCTAGATAACATTAAATATATTACACAAATATTGCAAGAAGAGAAGCTAGACGCTAAACAGCAAACTTGAGTGAGTGAAAAGCTCTGGGATGTTGCTTTTACCACCGGTATAAAAGAGTTAGATGACATGGTTACCTGTTCTAAGCAGTGCGAATTATGTAGAGAATACGTTCATTCGAATTCCCATGTATTACTTGAGTTCTTCATGAAATTCACACAAAAGAATTGTCCAATCAAAAATGTTGCTAGACCTACTAGGCTCAGCTTTACTTTTATCTCAATTTTGATTCACCACAACTACTATTCATTTCAGAATAAAGGACAATACAATTACAAAAATCAATGAGAAATTTAAATCTTACAAAGTGATAAAACGCCCAACTAACTTTGATCGTCTCCGAGATATTGAACCTTCAGCAATTCCAACACAACAATTCCCACGGACCTTCCGAAACTTTGAGGCCAACGTCCATCATGGCTAAATCTCCCAGTAAACACTTCTCCGATCATAAGGTTGCAGCTGAAGAGACAGATTCAAAAGTCTCTGCTGTCCCGGATAACGTTGATCAAGTTCCACCAAACACCATTCAGCCCTTTCTACATAAAGCTCTAGAAAGCTCTATCAATACGGGAGAGATCCCAGCCAGCCTCTTTTCACCAATCGCAAAAAACGATCACAATATTATTCCAAACAATAGCCCGGTCCCATTGCCAATTCTCAAGCCAAATGCCAGAAACAATATCCTTCTCTATCCCGGCTCTTTTAACCCACCCCACCAAGGCCATCTGGCCACAATTCGCTATTTTTCGGAGCGTCGTGAGCAACTCAGTATCACCACTATGTTCCTCTTCGTGGACCCTGGATCCATTGTCAAAAGCAAAGAGAAGCAATGGGGTGATATTATAATTCCACAAACCGTCCGCTACGAACTTTTCTACAAAGTCCCAGAAATCTCTCAACTCGTTGCATCTGGATGGCTTCAGCTGCTGGTAGGAGATATGGATAATCACATCAAAGTTCTACGAGCGACAACCAATTTGGTTTCGGAAGCTGGATATGCCGTTAAGCTGGTCGGACTTCTAGGCGGGGATAAGTTGACGGTGGAAAGCGCGCCACATGTACATCCGGGATGTTTACAGGAATGGGGTCCGGTTGATGAGTTTCTCATCATTAATGCAAGGAGGCCAGTCGACTTCTTTGACCCAAAGAAAGAAACGATTCCGAGAGACTTACCGGGTTGTACAAAGTGGAAGAGAGGTACGGAGAAGTGGGATGAGAAAGAATGGTCTATCGGCGATGGGGCTGGTGTTTTGTGGACATGTCAGGCCTTGACCGTTCCTGAAAAACCGATCATACAATTTCGTGCCTCGCAACACAGTGCGTCAAATGGTGTTAGTTCAACTAAGATTCGACAGATTATGACCGAGGCGCTGGATGAAAAGCTTATGGATGGACTAAAGGATAAAGCCATTAGTGCTGAGTTTTTGGTAAATTGGCTGATACTTCAGCGTAACCAGGCGCGTGAGGCTTCCGATGAAAAAGCTTTCCTTTAATCTTGTTGCCAGAGCGGAGGACGACTCTCCTACATCGAGTCTCTACTGGTGACTCCTTCATATACCATCCAGCATGGTTTTTGCCTATGAAATCAGCGCAGTCATGCAATTATATTAAGCCATAAGCTTTGTCTGGTCTCAATAACTTAAAGGTTCTTTAGACAATGTTACTTTCTCACGCTCAAGCTGCTCTCGTTACTTGCGTCGCATTCTCTTCGTAAAATACGTGAGCCACAATTATCTTACTCGCTTCCATCATTTCGATGCCATTCAATAAATTTTAATCACTCTGTAATGCCTTGAACAGGCAACTGACCTGTACTAACTGCGTTGTCCTGAAGCTTTTCCGCAGGAACTGGAATATTTTTGTCGCACTAACCACATCAAGCCCATTAATGCAAAATGAAAGGATATAATATGATTTAAAATGATAAGCCGCTGTTATGAAGCAAGAAACGTAGTGACACTATGGGAAGTACTTTCTAGTTCTGAAGATTTTATCAGACACGCATTGGAAAATTGGGCACGAGGTAAAATACTACTCATTTTGATGAGGATTAACTGCTCAAAAATGCCTCCAATTAGCTACTCTGATCATGTAGCATTTTCTCTATAAACTGTCTTTATCCCTCTACCCAAATCTCATTTATCTTCCAGTCGTCGATCAGTATTCAGAATCGAACCATTCTGCATTCTCCTTCAAATCTTAATTCTCATAGACCCGGGAGTCATTTGCTTGCTCCATCTCATCTCGAAACATAGGAAGAAGAAAAGGTTCGGTATGGATAGTCACGTTGGGAATCTGGAATGAAGCATTTCTTTCCATTTCCGCTTCGAAGGTGTGAGTGAGGCAATTCTCCAGATGTTGCACTTCAACCGAGTTATCAAATCCAGAGCATTGGGAATTTTTTTCAGGCCTACCACTTATGATGATAATCTCTTCCAAACAATCGAATTCAGTGAGGAACGGTTCAATAAATACGCTGTAGGTGTTCCCTTGTGGTTGTGGACGGTGGGGATTCACAATGCCATAGTCGTATATGAAACAAGTTGGAAATGTCAATGATTTCATTGGTCTCAATAGTACCGAAGACGAGATATCAATCAGGTGCGTAATTCCCCATGAGAGTTGCTCCATGGTATCGCATCCACGAATATTATGCTTTGAGAAATAGTGACGAAGAGTAAAGGAATCTAGCTGGTAGTTGAAATAGATTGGAAAGTCGGAGACACCCGGCAGGAGGTTGCAGTAGTATTTAAGTGACTCCGTTCGACTTTCGTGGTTGACGAAAAGAGTTATTGGACTCTGTGTGATTGTGCGACATTGGAAAATTCGAGGTGGATAATTCAGGACTTCGATCTGAAGCGATGCATCATATCCCACCGAGATATCAAAATCTACACAGACTTCAACATTGTGACCGCGAAAGCTGTATTTCCAGATCTTGATTCGTATCTCGATTGGGAGTTCTGAGAACAGGACAAAGCTCGAAGGACTGCTATGTCTTTTGCGCATGGGGAATTTTCTTAAGTTGATTAATTGCCGTCGTGGAATGCGTATTCTCCAGCGGCGTTCCAAAGCTCTATAATGCTTGGAGCGACGCTTTTGAAGCTCATCGGCTAGAGCCTGGCCTGAAAGCTTCTTGCATCTCTTCGGGGTCAACTTGTTTTCGGGGTCCATATTATGAGGTCTATCGTTTCCGTTAGCATCGGCAAGCTTTACGGAGCGTAACCACTTCTAGAGCACAAAGGACATCACTTACTTGTTTTGGATTGTGCTGTCTAGGGTTTTACTTTAGAGACCGACGGGTGGACAATCACTTCTTGAATGATGTTTGACACAATTAGGGATGAATTTCATCGACGCCAAAATTTCATATTTCCTCCACTTTTTTCTACGAGCCTAATTGCAAGACCAACTGTCGCAAGAGCATGGATCACACCTAAGCCATGCAGTAAGACCCAGCTGTTGCTCACCAAACCCACTAAAACTTCTACAAGTCAACGTCGTTCTTTATCTCACATATTTACACTGAAAGACTGTTTTAAAACACTTTCTAAGTTGAATCAAAACTTGCTTCTATTGATAGAAGCACCAAGTCATGTATCAATAGTGTAATGTATAGTTAATAGCTGATGGCTCGCTACTCGTTCGCTAAATCTTGTTCGGTTTTCTTGATTCAATGAAGACTCCTATACGGGGTGAGAAGGTTTAGAGTGACATTGGCGTTAATAAAGTGTGGAAGGGCCATAAAGTTGATGAATTCGATGCCTGAAGGGATAATAAAGACGCTTGCTGTTTGCCATTGAGGGTGATGTCGCACTTCGAGTAATTGTTTTCTTCCTGTCTTGATTCGATGAATCGAATGCATTATCTTTATGTGTGTGGTTATTGCATATCGTTCAAAATCACAGTCATCGCGAATGTTATCATATCGTGTCACGGATTTTGACTTCTCGGCTCCGATCAATTCTCGTTCTGAACTTAGAAGATTATGAACTCAGATATGTAAGACACTTGAATGTGCTCGAATTGCCGTTTTTACGTACGTGTACTCGAAGAATACAAAACCAGGCTATCATATTCCCATGAGCCGCACCCATTGGTGCTATGACAGACAGATATGCAGATAATCCTGTGCCAGCAGTCATATACCATGCTATTCTCCCTCTTATATCTCCATTTTTTTTTACCTCAATTTATCCCACAATAGAAAAATAATCATAGCTGCAAGAAATCCAGACTCCCATACACTCTCGCTGTTTTTCACGCCTGTTTGTGCAGAACTTTTCTTCCCATCTTTCGGCTTCACGGTGCAGTGTTCGAAGATTTTACTAGAGACATTTGGAATGCTTTTGATGTGTACGCTTCTGAAAAAATTGAGTCATCTATCTTGGGTATGATTCATGGATTCGAAATTGCGAAGTCACTTTCACGAAATGATATGATGTGAGAGGGAGTCAGCGACCAAGTCATAGATCCAATCATACAGAGACTAATGAATCACATATCATCATAGTAGTCATCCTCAATATTATGACAGATTTAATGGAAGCATATTTTTAGAAATTCATGTATTCATCCTACAAAATCAGCTTCCCCATAAACGCTCATCCCCCAGAATAATAGGTCATAATATTTTCCCACCCCAAATGACACACTGACTTCCCTTGGTTATATTAAATAAAGAATTCGAGAATGACGAGCAATCCCAAAGCAATTGTAACCACTACCAAAAAGCAACCTGAATCCATGCTTTTTAGTCCCGAGCTCTGAGTTGGACTCGAGTTGTTGCTGGGATTGCCTAAATCAATTCAATTAGCAATTTCCAAACTAACACTCATAATGGCTGTGAGATCCTTACTCTTAGTCTGTGTACCTGTGGCTGGGGTGGAAGTTGAGCTAGAGCCAGTAATAGGAACCGAATTCGAGACGGAAGCTGAAGATGAAGCTGCAGTGACGGTGGTGGAATTTAAGCTTGAGACAGGGTTAGGAGCCGAGGTGGAAGTCAAAATAGAGGTAGAAATTGAAGTCGAAGTGTAGGAGACGGTGGAGGTTGGTGCAGGAGCCACAATTGTGAGGGTGACAGTGGGCTCAAATCCACCTGTAATAATGACCAGACTGGTGATTAGTGTTCTAGATGGTTTGGTAGGCTGAGAATCCGTGGATCCACTCGAGAAATGCAAAGTGGTTGCTACAGACTCCGGTGAAGGAATCGGAGACAAGCTCTGAGCGACAGAGAGAAAGGCGAGTGTAGAAATAACGAACAGGACAATCGCATTGTTGAAATTTGCGCAAACCATGATTATGGTTTAAACTCGTATTAGATGATTGATGGTTATTTTATATCTATATCCTTTTGTCCAATTGATTGTTTTGTTGATGAGGTTTTATCGATTGATCAAGTTGTGGTATTTGGATGGAAGAATTGAAAGTTGTCACGTACAAGGGAAGAAGCTTTGTTTTCTGGATTATGTATAGCTAAATCGCTTAGATGTTCATTAGCTCAGGACGCATGCGTGATATGATTAGAGTGAATACGTTCCCGAGGCTTTTTAAGATTTAGGTATTTCCAGAGTGTCTACACACCAAACTCCTGTCTATGGATATGAAACTTTTATTAACCCCTGAAACAAATTAACCCATTCAATAGATCTCAATAAGTGCTGAGCATTCTTAGTTACCGTATAGCATTTGATTGCTGTATGGCTGTGATCAATCTACTAGTGCGAACCATCAGACACCGTATACCTTCCCATTCATTAGGTCTGATGTCATCTAGGTCTTTCTACGGCTAAGTTTTTTCTTACCCAAACATCTCACATGATTTTGTGCATTTTATATTCAATTTTACATTGTGGCATTTGAATTTCCATGTTTTCCTCTGCCTAAACATATCCTCCAAAAGATCAATGAAGAGGTCTATTACCTTGAGAGTGGCCTTGGAATAGGCAGAATACACTCCTATAAAGTTTCCCGGGCCACATTCACATTACAATAAGTTTCAAGCATTATTACAGGCGTCGAGCCGACAAGAATTTTCGAATGCTAAGCTCAGCACGATTCAATCTCGGGTTTTGTTTGAAAGTCAGGCATTTGCAACTATGATACTATATCGAGCTTGCCCATGAATAATCCCCTTTCGATCTACAAGTAGAAAATTTCCAGTGTTTCCCGCACATAGCCTTCCATTCGCAATTTACAAATTTAATCCGCTTTCAATATCAGAAAAACAAATAACTCATGGCCATCGAAATCAATCCCAACACAGCCAAAGACCGCAGTAGAGAGGTGTCCAGCTCCATGCTCCGCCGTCCTGAACTATGACTTGGGCTTGGACTATGATTTGGAGTTGCGGATATGGTAGGGTTTGAAGTCTGTACTGTGGTTGACGTTGCTGGAATTCCTGTTTGCGGCTTACATGTGGATTGAGTCTCACATGATCCTGGAATCCCATTGCTCCGAAAGCAGCAGCCAGCTAGGGAGAGTTATTAGTTAGTGAATTCTCATATGATAGTAAAGTAAAAGAATACTTACGCAGAGTTTGAGTATAGGTTGAGGATGCAGATTTCCAAGTAGTGGTACTCGAGCTGGGTGAAAAAAAGGAGCCGAGGTGAGAACTGCTTGTTCTGGTTGGATTAGCTTGACCTCGGCTTGTCATTATTTGAGGCAGACTGATACAAAGACTTCCGTGGACAATGTTTGTGAAGGTAAGAGTGAGTAGGATGAAAAGGATAATGATTCTGTTGTAGCGTAAGGAGATCATATCGGATATTGGCAATTCGCAAAGGACAACGTATGTTCAGCTTGATCGCCAAGTCCAAAAATCCTAATATTAAAGGGTTCGCGGGGGCTTTGTTTCTTTGGAATCAATGCTCTTAATGGCTTTCAAACTCTTTCGTACAAATAATGAATACTGTGTTGTCAAAGGTATTATGTGACTCGACATTTCTTAGTCATTCAATTCTTCAGCATTCACTGCCAATAACTGACGACTGGGTATCTTGATTCGATGGGACTCATCTTTCGAGTATTTTTACATCATCTATTAATAGATACTCATGCTAGGTATTTAATGATAGGTTCAGTTTAACGGTCATAAGGTAGAAGTATTCATAAAGAATAGAAATTTCAGGCTCTAGTTACACACTTTTGCAATCCTCCTACCGACACAAGATCCTAGCGAGCTCCGGTTTAATCTTGATCCCCCATTCCCAATACCGTTTTCTAATCACAAAATAAAACTCCCATTCCATTCAGAACCCCTAAAACAGAGAACAAAGCCATCAGCAGCAAAGTCGCGGGTACCGTTCCCCTGCCCGAACTCGAACCAGGAGCCGGAGTCTTCATTGGATTTCCAATGATCGATGGGGGATCTGTTTTTGAGGGTGCTTCCGGTTTTCCAGGTTTCATGTAATAAGATACTATCTTTGTGATATATGCCGGACGACATGAGGGATTGTCTTGGCAGGAGCCTGTTTCAGTAGGAAGCAAGAAACAACATCCGGCTATTCATTTTGTTAGTGAGGTCTTTGCGATGGGATTAGGTCATCAGGATGAGGAGAATGATAATCTTCGTGAGATGTGTGGAAATTATTTTCTCGACACAGATGGTTTTTAAGTTTTGTTGTGTTGAAACTATGTTTGCTTTGGAATTTTGATCGAACTTCTAAGTGATATTGAGAGATTTTTGGGAGGAAGCGGATGTTCATACAGAGGCAGTAGTGTTGGTGTGAATATGGGGAGTGCAGAAAACAGTAGCATGAATCAGGATTTCGAATTAAACTCTGACTCATTGTGATAGAATTGCGCTATAAAGATGATTCACGCATCGACGACTCGGAAATAATACATTACTTACGTCAATCCAAAAATTTAAATCTAGAAGGTGAAAAGGAAGCCCGCGGTAAATCACATCCACAGCGATATGGAGCCTAAAGTTTATCGGATATCCCATTTATTAAGATCTGGCAAGAGGAGAGGCAAATGCTTTCTGTGTCGGGGAATCTAATGCCTGCCTGCACATCTACCATCGAACTATCTCATGGCTTTTTGCATTCCACAATTGAGTAGCTTTCACTTATCAGATTACTCAAAACGGAATTATTCGCGACTTTAATTTTGATCGATATGTGAGGATTTTTTTCAATACTAGTATCTTCTAATCATAGGTTTGAAGCGATCCTTTAAAAACGCGGTTCATATCACATTCACATCAACGGTATTGGTAGGCGGTTATTCGACAACGAGGATCGTGAAGCAGACTATTGCGAAAACCCATCGAATCAAAACCGTGATCTTCATTCCGGAGAGAAAGAATTGATTGATAGATTGATAAGATTTGGGAAAGCCTTTTATGGTTTACGAATTATAGTCTATCGATATTTCAGATATTTAACAGAGAGGGGATAAATTGTGAAATATCCTACCCTATCTAACGTTGAGAATGCAAACCGAGAAGGCTAGAAAAATACTCAATATAGAGAGAATAATCTCTTCTGAAAGTAATAGGCGTATTTTAGCCATTCCAGTATATCCAAGGCGATCATCTACGACACTATAAACAACTGCCCCTTTCGCTTACCATGTAGCAAGCGACGACTAGCTAGTGCTATTCCGCATGTCAATAGGAAAACTCTAACATGCGATAATTTCATCCATTAGTTCGAAACTCATTCATCGTACAATCAATTGTTCGTGTTAGACTTTAGTAACAACCATCCAGTACATGTCGAATCACTAATTAAATATATTCATTTATTTCAAAATTCTCATTTACAACTCAAGAAAAGTGAGCTCTTGAAAATTAACACGGAATACCAAACCCGGTCACCGTACCCACCATCATTCACTTCTCCAATGAATCTCCACTCCACTCCACCCACTTTCCACCATCACCCACACACCATCTGCATGTTTTTTTTTTTCAACAGCTATATATACTAAGTTTTCATGCGCATCTTCAACAAAAAGCTCAAAGCTTCTGTGGTCCAATGGTTAGGATTCCACCCTTCCAAGGTGGAGGTTCGTGTTCGATTCACGGCAGTTGCATTTTCTTTTGCTTTTTTGTGTCGATTTATCTCACACATCTAGACATCTTTTCACACAGGCTCATGAGCAGCGTCGAAGATATAATGTAAGTGTCCAATACACACGAGGGAAAATGTTTTATCGACTGGAGAGGAAGGAGATTATTGTCCAGGGTAAATTTAAGAAAAATGTTCTCCCCCACATCCGGACCCGCCACGCCGCGCTCAGATATTTTTGATGTTAACAAGCATGCAAGCCTATTCCGTGAAGAATATCAGGGTGAGATATCCTCCTCATCATTGAATATTTTTACAGCAAGGATAAGACTTGTCTATAGTTAGCTATGAGAAAAGTCTCGTGCACATACCGAAATCATCTTGCTAATAATTTGACGCCAAATACAAGCTCTAGACACGATCAGCGATCGAAGATTTCGCATCAGACCAATACAGCTTTTATCCGAGAATTGGGAATCCAACTACCGAAAGGTGACCCAGGTTGTGAAAAGAGTGAAGCATAAGTTGGGGGATTATTTTTGATTCTTTAAGTAAAGTTCAACACAAACGAAGGTGGAGGAGATCCTCAGTCACTCTTCGTGTGGAGAATATTAAGATTACTCGGAGAAGCAATTCATGAATGAACATCTGGGAGTATTATGACTGAATTTGGAACGACAAGAAGAGCGATTGAAAAAAGAACAATTAAGTAAAATAATATTATCGAGTCGGAATCGATGTAATAAAATAGATACATCCCCTACACTAACATTTTCAGTCTTGACTACCGAAGCTTCAATCTGAACTTCTTGATGAGCCATGATTTCCAATTGAAACCCCCTTGACCTGGCGGTAACCGGAACATTCCATAAGAACTAATCTTGATTTATCTCCAAGAACTGGGGTCAATGAAGGTATGTTGTACAGCAAATTGCTGTCCAACGGGGTTTAACTGGCCCGGTATGGGTGGTGTATAACCAAAAGGAATTGATTTGCTCTGCTTACTCGGTATATCGTAATTGATTCCCTCAAGACATGAATCGGCTAGGAGAGTCAATTCATGTAGGTAAGAGTGAGCAGCTGGATGATTAGTATGGACTTCATGATCTCCAAATGAAACCACTTGATAATAGCCGTACACCCCATATGGTAATACAATTAGAGACCTGAAATCTCGCATTGCAGCTGCCGTCTTGAAGAAGTTGGTTGTAATTCCTGCATGGGTTTGACAAAACTTGGAACCGTGATACCTTGTGACACTAATCACATAGACAGCCAGGGTATCGAGCTCATTATTGTGAAAGTAAATGTTCAAGAGCTAACGGGGCCAGATTCAATGGCTTATAGTGTAGTAGCGTTTCTGCTCGACTTTCTTGATTGACTGACATCGTCGGGGTGGTGACGCGAGTCTTTTGACGTCAGTTACGGTCCCATGCCCGGTTGGAACTTAATCAATTCTCGTGACGATTCCAATATTGCGGCTTTCCCAGCTCATTTTCCATATTTTTAGACGTAGCTCAATAGGAAGTCTTGAAAACGGAAGAAATAGTTTTCCGCATTGATGTTCGAGTTCGTCATTATTTCCTTGTGTACAACAAGAATCAATAGGAGCGACTGCATCTTTGGCACTTGACTGGGTTCGTTTCAAGGACTTCTTTCTCTGGCACCAGTGTCCTATTGACCCTACCTTCGCCTGTATAGGTTTTAGTCTTAGATATATCGTCAAAGAGTTAACATGATAAAACAGACATACCTTCAATGTTGTCAATTTTTGCCGAACCTCCCGAGAGTGTATGTAATCATTGTCCATCGTGATAGGAAAGACAGCTGAGCTTGGTGACAGTGATTGCTTGATAGATGGACCAGGATATCGGAAGATGAATGCCTGTATATAGGTTGCGATAATGGGTAATGAGGATTTTATTATCCTCCAGCGCGCAATTGTAGAATAATACACCGGAGGGGAAAGTACTAGATAGAAGAATTTTTGACCTTAAAGACCAGATTTTGTGGAAGTGTAAGGTACTGTTGGTATCAACTTGGTTAATAAGTGTGAATCACCTAGTCTGTTATTGTTGTAATCGTTCTTGATCATTACTAACAATGGAAAGCTAGTACTTATATAAGGAGGCGCTAGCTCCTCGCCGGCTACTACAGTGCCCTCTCGTGATCACATGATCGATGTGCCGACAGGTACCGTTCAACAAGGCAGCGAATGAAGTAAATGTAGGCCGTAAGAGAGTAAGATCGAAGAAATGATTATTTTTTCTGGTTCTCGAAACTCCATTCACTTGCATATCTCGTACCATGTGCCTAGAGTACCCCGCGCCATCTCACTGAGGTGACTGAGATTCTTCCGGAATTCAACAGTATGGCATGAAGATCTTATTTCACAATTCGGCTGTTTTGAAATCAAACTCAATCTTGCAGATTGAACGAATCCATTCGTGTTATGCAATGGAGGAAAGAAAAGGGAATTGAAAATGAGTAAGTTGATGTACCCATGACGAACCAGCGTGTCTACGCTCAACAAGCAGGTGGTAAAGAAGGCAAGAACGATTAGAAGACCACAAGAAAATTGATTTTTTGAGCCCTGACTAAACATAAGAGCTAAAAAGATGCGGAATAGCTCAATAAATCTGCCGGACCCTCAGTTTTGGGTATATATTTAAACGCCAAAGCCATCTCATTCCTTTGTGCAGCCGCGACACAGACAAAGTTATCTGGCAATCCATAAACT